TAAACATACGTTCTCCTATAAACCTCCTTTGAAACTAATGCGAAGTTGCAAAAAAGTCAATTATCATCATATTAATTGCTAAAATATTAAAACAATTTGATTGACAAATTAACTAGTCTATTTTACAATATAACATTAGTAGTGAGTATAAACATATGCATTCTGNTCCTCTCTTGCTTCAGAAGAAGAAAATGATTTTGAGTTTGTTAATAGAGAAGATGTCTCCTCTCTTGCTTCAGAAGAAGAAAATGATTTTGAGTTTGTTAATAGAGAAGATGTCTCCTCTCTTGCTTCAGAAGAAGAAAATGATTTTGAGTTTGTTAATAGAGAAGATATTGATCTGAAAGAAGAAAGTATTGCAGGATTTACTAAAGAAAAGTTGTCAGAAATGTGTACTTTTTCTAAGATGGCTCATTGTTCCAATGACGAAACGTTGTCTAAGAAAGGGTACAAAACTAGAGATAAGCTTTCTAAAGAAAAATATCGCGTTACTTTGTTTAATTATAGTAATGGAAGAGATGCTGGTCTCATTTTTAAAAAAGGCAAAGAAGTAACTATAGCTTATTGTGGGAGTCGAACCATCGGAGATTTTATAACCGGAGGTAGTGTACTGCCAACCATTCCTTCGTTTTTAGTTGATGAACGTGGAAAAATATATGGAAGAGTACATAAAGGTTATTACAACGCATTTCAAGACTCTTTTAACGCACTTGAATCTGAACTTGAACATTATGCTAAAGCACAAAATTTAGAAATTAAAGATCTTAAAATTAATTTCACTGGTCATAGTATGGGAGGGGCTCTTGCAAAAATAGCTGCTTTATGTCTCAACAAAACAAAAGGTGCTCAAGATATACATGTTGCAACTTTTGGTGACCCACGAGTTTTTTTCGAAGATGCTAAAGAAGCTTATAATGAAGTTCTTGGAGAAAACACTATTAGAGTCTCTCAGCATAGACAAGACCCAGTACCAGCAGTGATACCTGGTGCTGCTGGCTATGCTCACGTAGGTACACAATTAAGAATAGAAAAATCACCAAGCGATTTTCCACATAAAATGGATGGTTACTATGGAGTCATTAAAGGACATCAACAGTATCATTTTCGACCAAATAATAGCGCATCTCTCTTTTATTATCCCGTTCAAGGATTAAAGGTTCTTAACTGTATGATTTTAGGTAATAGTCAGAGCGCCATTGTGAATTATTCAGGAAAGCAGTATTCAACTCCAACTGAGGAAAAATGGTACAAGGAAGCCTTGTCTCTTGCGAAAGTTAAAAAGGAGTCTAATACAGGTAATAATCCTAATACAAAAATCAACCTCAATCAAATCAATCAAGTTGTTGGAGAAATTAGGTATTTATAGTTAAATTGAGTGTATGGTCCCAAAGTATGATGGTGAAGATTAAG